TACACCATAATGTTGGGATTGTAAAAAGGATGTATTCTGGTCTCTAATGGAGCAGCAGAGTCCAGCAAGTGACACACTGCCTCACTATGAGGGGATGTTGGAGAACTATGTTCTCTTCTGAGGGAAGCCATGGCATGTACAGACATTCGCTCTCCCAGGAGAAACTCTCCTGGGAGTGATATTTCCTGGTTTTCTCAGGTTATTTTTCTCCTGGAGCAGCCATTTTTACCCTGGGAGAAAACGCTGAGCATCTGTACACTTGTGGTTTGCCCTGGGAGAGCAGTGACAATGTCTGTATGAGGCCTATGACTCTTCTCAATACACTGCTATAACCTATATAGCATATCTCTAAGGTGGGACTTCATCACAGATCCAACATTAAGTACACAATCACACACCCACTGTTTTGTAGTTTAGAGGAGATTTTGTCCTCTTGTTCACCAGACATCTTCCTTCCCCATGGCACTATCATCATGTACTACTGGGTTGGTTTCTTGATGCTAGCAATAATTTAAAGCAGAAATATGGGCTGTCAGGAGAGACCTATGCCCAGAGCTCAATCTACTTCTCTCTGCTGTCCTTTACCAGCAGTGGCAGATGTAGTGATTCCTCAACACAAATGGTGAGAGCATGGGCCAATAGGAAAAATTTAAAAAGCTGCTTCTCCAACAAAACACAGGAAAAGCTACCAGATCTTTTATGTTGCTACTACAAGAGAAAGGTTTATTTCTCTCTTTTTGGTATCAGCTCCAGTATAGTTGCATGTTTCTGCTCATACACACTCCCAGCGAACATACTTCATCTACTCCAGGCTCCTTTCTGGCCACTTTGTCTCAAGATTTTTATAAATAAACAGAATTGTAATTCTGAACAATATCTATTCCTTTATGACTGAAAGTGTTAATTCTCACAATGTAATGTTCTGCAAACAAACTTGGCAAAATTACCTATATATGTTCTTCAAATAAATAATTACATTGTTAAAAAAAAAATCTCTTAGATAAATGAGTCAGTTGCAAATTATGGACGAGATTTCACCAGTGTAATGCAGGTTCTTTGAGCTACTCCATTATGCAAGGATGCCAAAAAAACATTTCAACTGGCCATTATACTCCGACTGATTAATACTGCTCAAAATTGGTGCAAAGGTACAACAATCTGTTGGTTTATCTGTCCCTGAAATAATTTTAAGAGACATGAGATGAATACTGCTTATTTTCAAGTAATTTAAAAATGATAAAAACTGATTTGGTTTCTCATTTAATGCTCATGCCTGTAATTTTTAGTAATTAAAAGACTCAAAGACATCATATAATAAAAATACGATGATAAATATGAATATGAATTAAGATTTAGAGTGTACATCAGTAATTTAAAGATAAAAAATATTATAACAATTTGAAACTATAATTAAAACAAACATTACAAACTCAAGAAGTTCAGTGTCAAGGTTAAATTTAACAGACATCCAGGACATTAAGGCATGAAAATACAATAAAAGGACCTGATCAACCTTAACTCTGTCTCATCATTTCACACAATAACCTTGTGATCATTATTATGATGTTTTTGTGTTGTAGTCCAAACTTATATGAAAAGTTTGGCTCAGGGCCAAAATTGATTCAGTTTTTCATATTTTTCCCCACATGTTGTTACTAACTGGTAAAACTAATTTCAATATACAGACCAAAACAGGAACACCTAGATTTTCTTTCTTAACCTCACTGCTTTTAACATCTTTAATTTTGTTTGTAAGATATAACATTTTAGATATCAGAGGAAAAAAATCAACATAAATTTTATCAATATCAATATTTAAATTCAGCAAGCATGACCTATTTTATTTTTCATTTTCTTACCGGTATCTATGAACAAATATACCCTTAAAAATAGAGTTCATCATATTTTCGATTTCATCTTGATTTTCTTGTAGCTGCAAAAAACAAACAAAAAAAAAAACAAAAAAGAGATCACTAATATTACAGACTAGCATACTGGTATCACATTGAGAATCATTATATAGCACCACATACTTTATTCCCGAGAACACTTAATTCAACAATACTGGATAAATATTTCCTTTTTTCTCTATAGCTCTTAATAATAATATTTTGTACATACACACTACCTTTGTGGAAGGAGATTAACACATTATACAAACAATAATGAAAGTTAAGCTCAGACATAGGTGCTATCATCTGTTTCTCAGCTAAGGAACTGTAGGAAAGGAAAGATTGCATGTTGAGTCATGCTAATGAATCTCACCTGCCGTTTAAGTAAATGGGTCTGCTGGCACTTAGAAGCTCTGGAAATCAGGCCACTTAGGCCCCTGGCACATGTTACATTCAAGACACAATTAACCAATCAATCATATCTTAAGAAGTTACCTAGCCACACAATGCAGTTAATGGCATGATAAAACAATAAACAAGCCACAAAGTTATTACAAAAAATATGTAATAACTTTATGGCTGGTTCCCACTATGCCATTAATTGAATGTGTGGACACAGTGATTGTAGCTCCCAACCTCCAGAGCATGTGCCCTTGGAGTCGAGGGATCAGATGTGCCCTGGAGGCTGGAGCAGCAATCAGCTGCTGCCCCAGCTGCATCAAAGCCCTTGACTCCAATATGTCCCCTTGGATAGGAACAGGGACACATCAGGGCTCCCAGGCTTTGGGATGCAGCTGGAGTCAAGGGCTCCACTGTGCCCCTACAGCTGGGAGTCCGGATCAGCTGACAGGGTAGAAGTGTGTGGTGTGACCCTGCAGCTCAGGGCCAAATCAGTTGACAGGGCTCCTGGCCAAAGGAGGTATGGTGGGTATCCATGGCTAGGAGTCCAAATAAGCTGATGGGGCTCCACAGGGGGCATGGTGCTCCCCCATGCCTGGGACCCCCAGATCAGCTAATGGGGTTTCCACCTGCAGGAGCCTGCTAGTTGTCGGTGCAAGGGGAGCCTGAAATTAGGATCCCAGGCTCCCCCTGAACCAGCAATATGGCATGATGGGACCTTGTTCTCGATCCTACAATCATGCTTCCTGTCATACATGTGTGACACGGCAGGAAGAGCTATTGTGGGTCTCACAGTTCCCATGGTGCCTTTAACTGCACATCTGCCAGGGACCTTATAAAGAGGACTAATTATGGATTTGAGGAGTTTTTCCAAACTTAGGTTCCCAATTCTAACACTTAAGTATGTTCTTAAGTTTAAACACATGCTTATATCCCAGTGCCTGCAATGCATACGCTTACTGGTAAATGTGCTTTGCCAAATAGGAAAGCTTTTTCAGAAGTAGGCCTTTGATGCTGCATGTTGAGGCTAGATCTCCAGACACCTGCACCTAGCCAATACACTGTAAAAATCCTCACAATGGAGATTCAGGTTTATTCTCCCTTACTGATTTCTATAGCAAATGGGATAATTTTACAAGTAAAAGAATATTCTTCTTCTAAGTGCCAATCCCATAAACTCTCCATGGTCCCAGTTAAAAAGAGCTATTCATCTCTTACATGTCACCATTAGTGGGGGAAAAAAGGAACCTATTGACAAAATTATGTCTTTCAGTTCACTTGCCTTACTCTGAAGTCCGCAATAGGGATTTACCATTGTAACTAATTCAGATTTAGCAACTGAGTGGAATCTAGCTCACTCCATTTAGCTGTATTAGCTCTGTAAAACTTGGTGGTCATCTGCACACACAAAGCTCTTTTAGTAGAATTCCCTCTGGGTGTGGGCACAGTTATAATGTGTTTATATTGGTGCAGTTTATTTTTGCAAATAAAGGGAAATAAGCTAAATGGCTGTAAGAACAATATACTAGTACAAATGTATCCATTCTGGGGACTATACTGGCTTAATTATATCAGTAAAAACCGTACACCACCTAACCAACAGATCAATCTACAAACTATATGTAGACCAGACAAGGATCACGATAAAACCAAAAAGCCTTATTTTTGTCACTAAATTAAAAATATGGTATTTGACTACATAAAAATTATAGTCTTGCTGAGCAGAAGGCAGTACTGTTATATAATTATTTTTCATAGCAGAACTGCTATTAAGACACAAGACCATCATTTCTCCATTAACGAGGGCATTATCTCTGCCTTTTATCATTCATGGCATATCTCAATATCAAAGTAGGATACTATACAGTGCATATTTTTCATGCCTCCAGTGGGAAGGCATGACACAGAATTGCTATTAGTGTATATTAATGAATATTATTTTTCATGGATACATTTTAAAGCCAGAAGGGACCAGTAAGATTATCGAGTCTGACGCTGTGCATAAGACAGGCCCAGAGGATTTCACCTAGGGAATTGTTAGGTTTTCATAATATTCTGCATTTCCATTGTGCCTTCCAACTGAATAGCTCAGAACACTTTTGCATCCCTCTTATTTTATACATGGGAAAACTGAAACAAAAAGGAGCTAATTGTTAAAAGCTTGTCAGCTGCCCTGGCACATGCATTATAGGTTACAAACAAGTAAGAGGTGCAAAGGGCACAGCTAGATGAATATAGCCCATGCATGTGCCAAAAGATGGAAATATACAAAGGGTTAAGGTTGTAGGCATGATTTCAAGGACAGGTACTACAGTTTATTGTCAGATGCAGGTCAATTATAAGACCTAAAAAATACACATCCAACCCTCAATGGGACAAGGGTAGTTTCTGCTCGTCTCTGTATCTGCTGACTTCAGCTCTTATACAAAAACAGCCAGATCCCAGACAATCAGCAGAAATAAATGTGGCTGAATCAACCTCTATAGGATGTACGGAGAGAAGAACAATGAGAATGGAGACGGACACAGAAGTCTGGCCACTCTGAAGGGGGACTAAAATCCAAGAAGATGAAGATTCATCTCCTTGAGAACTTTTGACATGAACCATTAATTGATATGATGCTTTGCTTGCAGCTCCCTGCCTTTTCTGCCACCATACTCGCCTGGCTCTTCCCCAATGTATTACATGCCACACACAGGAGGCTGCCTGTGTCACCTGTAGCACCCATGCCACAGGTTGGCCGTTCTTGTTGCTGATCAAGGATTGGCAAGGTTTTGTGGCAGGGGGCCAGAATGACCCATCTTGAGTGTGAGGTAGACAGGCACTGGGACGCAGTCATCTTGGTCACTTCTCCCTGCCACCCAGATGCAGTACAGTGCAGGAAGACTACCCCTCCGTACTGCCCAGTCCAGTGTGGGCATAGCTCTCCCTCTTCCAAAGTCCTTGGCACCCAGCTGTAGCTCAGCACAGGCAGAGACCCCTCCTGCTAAAGCCATGTCTCCACAGGTCAGATCCAAATGCTTCACGGGCTGTAGGTTGCTGATCCCTAGGGTAAATGAGGGGAAGAAGTCGAAGTGGATCACCCCCCACTTTTCCCATAAATCTTTTCCATTTCTGGCTGGCTGCAAATGACCTTACTAATCTGCCACTATGCTGAGTGGCAGTAGCATCTGGAGAAAACAGGGGACACTGCCCACTGCAACAAATAGTGGTGATGGTGCCGAGTTCGGGGGCAAACGTGGTGAAATGAGATATGTTTCCAGCATTTACATGACAGTCTCTCTTATCTCAACAGGCCCAGGGGGCACAGAGACTAGAATTTTTTTGAGAGGAGTGTACAGGTAATTCCAGCCTGCAGCCACTCATTCTCCCTTGCTCCCCTTGCCTTCCTCAGACAGGGGTGATCCCAGTCTGGGGAAGGCATGGGGAGCAGTTGTTGCTCCTCTCCTCCCAGTCCTCAGGTCACCCTGGTTTGGGGAAGTGTGGGGGAGTACTGCCTCATTGCTCCCTCCCCTCCTGATCTCTCCTATGTTCTCATCCAGCTGCTGAAAAGGCTACTCTTAGACTGTCACAATTTCCCCATCATGAGCCAGGTAAGTGGCACAAATGAAAGAAAGCACCTGTGTTGCGACTGCCAGCTCCACCCAGCTCACCAGTGGGTATTCCCCTTCTAATCACCATGAGGATCAATCACATCTGCACCTACATTCTCAGAGTTATCTTGTTTCTTTTCACTCTACCAGACAGGTTGCTGACCAAGGAATTCACCAGCTTCATCTAGTAAAGCAGCCTTTGTCAGCCTAGTTGGTAACCTATCTGGTTTTGTAATGGGTGATTTTTCGTGTTAATGATGTATCAGCATATACTAATATGGCAGGTGAGGACACAGGTGCAAACCCACAGGTGACCTGCTAAACTGGCACACACTTTTCAAATATTTGTCCATCATTAGCATGTGCTGGTGTTTCCCCTTCCCTCAGTGGTAGGTATGAATTATCACTGCTCCTGGCTGTTTCTTAAGAACCTTTGAAGGAAACTCTGCTTGTGCACATACATTTTTACAGCCTTTATATTAATTTCTATAGCCTTCCTAGCCATTCCCCCTTTGGAAATTTTAATTAACAGGTAGGAGAATAGCTACAGGCAGGCAGGTCGTGGGGACATTATACAGAAATTGGCAAGAAAAGGATTAAAAAATAATGAACATCTCATTGATGCAGGGATATCCAGTGGGAAAGGAGGCTATTCAGGAGAAACTGGATATTCTGTGTCTTCATCATGGAATTAGATACAGGATACAGCTTTTGCGGTAGAGCTACGATGCAGAATATCTATTTTCATATCAAAATGAAGGCCCGTATTTTAAAAAGCTAACTGCCTAAAATTGGACCTAAAGCTCAGAGGTGCAAGGTACCTATAAATCTCTTTGAACTCAGCATGAGTTGAAGGCATTTTAGTATCTTTAAAAAAATCAGAATGCTTATTTCTGGTAGTTGAAGTGTTTAACTTTAGGGGCTCACATTTGAAGACTTGCCTTCCTGACTCTGCAAACAGACTACAAAGCTCTAAAAAATATGAGTAGTAAGCACTGAACTCTAATTCCTATGAAATCGATTTAACATGTCAGGATTATTAATTATTC